GAGTACTGAGCTTCAAAGTATATATGTTCAGAACACTAAAACAAGCTTTTTCTGTAAGTTTCAGAAAAATCTAAAGAAAATGGATTTTTCGGAGAACGTTCTTAATATTATGTTTAATTCCGTTGAGAATGACTTGAAGTAAGTCGAAACGCGTACGGATATTATACGGACAATACACACTTTTATATTAAAAATGGACTTTTAAACACAGCCATTGTTATACTTGCGCACAAAAAGTACCGCGCTGGCTCCTACTTTCCCTTACATTCTTGTCTCTTTAATTTGATCAATACTCTCTTTCACCCGCTTTTTTATTCTAAATTGATTAATTCGTAAATCCTTGCGAGGGATATGAACGACGATTAAAGAAAAAGAAAGTAATAAGAACGCAGAAAACTATATTACATATATAATTAAAATAATATAATTAAAATTGAATGTGCGCACGTTATACATAAATTAAAAAGAAAATTGAGAGAGACGCTGATTATTTCTTGTTCTCTCTCAACACGAATCACACGTTGATTTACCAAGTGCAAATAATTCTTAAGCTAGTAATACACAGTCTATATCACTATTTACAGTACTTGCTATTTACTAATCGTATTGATTGAACTAATCAAAGGTCCATGGCGAGCTTTTCTATTTCCTCAACGAAGAACTTCATATCAGCCTCCGTTAGTCCCGAGTTCTGCAGCACCAATCTGAAGAAGTTCGGCATATTTCCCAATGTCTGATACGTAATCAACATTGTTCCTGCTCGTACCATACGTTCCTTAATTATCGGCGCGATCTGCAACGATTTTATCAAAATAAAATCAAGACATACAAATTAACAAAATAAAAGAAAATAAATTATAAATTCAAAATAGCACAAACGCTAAAAAAAAACCGTAATGTATTAAAAATAATCACTTTAGTTAACAATATAGAAACAATCAGGATGTTGGGTCTATTATCTTATCAATCCAAACGGAACAAAAATGATTCGCTTCTCCTACAGCACAAAAGTTGCAGCAACAATGCTGCAACATTGCAGCGATATTACAGCAAATTCTGTACTGTATGGGTTAATTCTCCTAATTCATTAGTTTGCACCTGTAAGTGTCAACAAAAACGCGCTTAGATTAAATAGAGTCGAGTGTTGCACCTTGTGAAGCGTCTGCTCGAGTTCCTGGCCGGCCAGGTGCCTCTTCGACGGCGGAATGTAGCGGAAGCAAACGTTGATACACTCCGGCTCGACAAGCAAGTGCCAGCCATCGCGTGTCCTGATGAGATCGGTAAAGTGGCGCGAAAGCGCGAACAAGCGGTCGACGTGGGCCTCGAGGCCGCGCGTGCCCTTCGCCTTCCACATGTACCAGAATTTGACGACGTCGGCGCGGCGGCCGCCTTGCACGTGGCGATCACCGCAGTCAAACGACGCGTCGTAGAACTTGTCGTTTTGGAAAAGGTAGCTCGCCCCGCAGCCGTGCGCCGCTTGTAACAAACCTAAGGGCGAAACTCCGTTTATAAATTTATCACTTACGCGATGTTCCTATCCAGAATATATAAAAAAAAGATACTTGAAATTTTAATAATCTTTTTTCGCGATTATGATTCAAAATATTAAAAAGTTACGAATTAGGTAAAATATTGATAAAATAGTATGTAATAAATATAACAAAATTACGTTAAGTGATTAATTTATAAATTAATTAATTTAATTAATTAAAATTCACACATTACATGATATTTTAATTTTAAGATAAGATCATCGTTATTAAGATATAAATTAGAGTATAAATTAAAAAACGTATGAATAAAATTTCTCTCTAATAAATAAATAAAAATGAAGAGACAAAGGTATAAGGAAAGATGTAAGCATAAAGAGGAGACCTTCATGACGGAGCAGCAGGGTGGAACACTGCTGCGGCGCGGCGAGCAGTTTGTGGGGGTTCCAGGTGACGGAGTCGGCGAACTGGATGCCGTTCAGGAGGCCGCGGTACGTCCTGGAGACAAGTGCACCTCCGCCCCACGCGGCATCTACGTGAAACCATAGTCCATGTTTCTTGCAGACTTCTGCGATCTCTCTCAGGGGATCAAACGCGCCTATCACGGTGGTACCCGCGGTGGCGGATACCATAAGCGGCGCGGCGCCCTCCTCGACTGCTCGGGCGATCTGAGCCTCCAAATCGGAGATCATCATTTTGCCACGAGAGTCGACCTTGACCAGATATACGTTATCATAGCCGATTCCCAGAAATGCGGCGAGCTTCTTCACAGAATAGTGCGCATCCTCCGAAGTGAACACCACCAGTCGTGGCATCTGCGATAATCCGGATTGCTTCAGATTCGGATATCTGTAAATTAATAACCTTTTAAATTAGCTTAACTGTTGAAGCTCTGAAACATTACGTCGTACACGCATGTTACACTCATGTGAGACGTCGTGTATTGAAATTCGTGAAGTCACATGAAACAAATCATGCAAACAGACCGTTAACTGCACATTGTTAGCACGACGTTATGTTTTATAGCTGATATGTAGTTACGTTATAGCAACACGTTGACGACAAGATGAATAATTATACACTGAAAGAAAAGATTAGTTGCTGCAGCAAATTAGATGGTTAAATATGGCATAGCATTTTTAATTGTCTGTAGCAACCAATTTTTGGTTGCGTTAGCCAATCGAAATTCTATACTGACATTGAGAATAGGCTAACACAACCAAAAACTGGCTGCAGCAATCAAAAATTGGCTGTTGCAACCAATTAAAACTGCTATGCCATATTTTTACCATCTAATTTGTTGCAACAGCCAATTTTTTCTTTCATACGGCATGTAAAATTTTTATTAGTTTTCATTCTTGGAGCCTATTTATGAAAACTCATCTCATCACCATCGACTGCATTTAGCAGACTCAACTGTTAAGGCTCCTAAGTAGTCATCATAACCATATTGAATCATGACGTCAGAAGCGAGAAATGACACGTTAATTTTTATTACGTGCCATTTATAAATAAAGACAATTTAGATAAAATAAAATGATGAGATTGCTTTAAAACATTTGTAAAAATGGACGAAAACTACACGGAGAGAATTTTTCGTTATTTTTTACCGCAAAATTCATTACAAATTTCATCATGTTTGATAATAAGCTTGGGACAACTTGACAATAATAAAATATTATCAGTAACGATAGATTTTTTGAAATATACAAGAGACTTTTTATAAATGATGTAGTAAAAATTATAATGCAGATTGTAAAATGTTTTGAAGTGA